CTTACAAAGTCAAACACTTTAAAGGTTGTCTTTAAAAAAAAAAAAAAAATCCAGTCTCTTTCAATATCTAAATTCTCTGTAAAACCTCAAAATTTCTCTCTCTCTTTTTAAGTTTAAAGTCTCTCAACTGTGGGCTCCTATAAAATCAAAATTAAATTAAATAATTTCCTACTTCAAGAGGGAAGAACCAGGGCATAGTCACAATCTGAACAAAGCAAAACCAAACTCCAAATGTGTAAACAGCTCACTGTCCGAGGCCTAGGATCCACTCAGTGATCTTTGGGGTTCCTCCAAAGCCCTCGGGTCACATCTCCAGCTCTGTTGCTTGCAGCAATACAGTTTCTCTTCTAGGCTCTGGCTGACTCCACTCCACATCTGCTGCTGTCCTTAGTGGTCTTCCCATCGTACTGGCATCTCCAAAACTGCCAAGGTCCCTTGCTGTACCTGGGCTGCACTTTCACCAACAGCCTCTTCCTGGACTCTCTTGAGGGACTCTAGCCCTGGCACACAGTGCTGAGCAGCAGCTGCTCTCCATGACTCCTTCATGCCTTCAAAACCAGCACTACCCAGCTGACTCTTACACTACCAAATTTGGCTGCCAGCACAAGGTACAACCTCGATCACTTCTGGAATAGTTTCTGTGTACGAACCCTGAGGAAACACTTCCCAGAAGATTTCACCTGATGATGCTGCTCTCTTCTTAATCACCACGAATTCCTTAGCTCCAGCTAATCAGCATCAACTGTCCCAGGAATGCAAATTTCACTTCAATTGTGCTGGTCTCTTGTTTATCATAGCTGACTCTTCAGGCCCAGCTGACCAGCAATGACAAGGCTCTTTATTCAAAATAGCAAATGGCCCTGATAGAATCTTTAAATTTCCCCCCGAAACTTCACAAGCCAGGCCTCCATCTTCTGCACAGCTATCAACATTCTTATCTCTCAAGCTCCTACAGAACAGCCCACTGAACTTTCAACACTCAATGGATTTGCTAGCCCCAAGTTTCAAGTCCTTCCACAGCCCTCCCAAAAACATGGTCAGGTCTGTCATAGCATGTGGGGAACCAAAATATTTCTGCTATGGAATATTTTTGAGATCCAGCCTTTGGTCTCACTAAACATGGAGCACCAGAAAGCTCCGGTCCACTATTGTATTGTTAATGCCAGTAACAATGCTACTACTGTTTACCATGGCCTCAGGGCAATGTGCCTCTTATTTGCATCTCTGTAGACCTAAGCATCTGAATAGGCCCTTGTGTCAACTTGTGTCTATTTGTGTCAACTTGACACAAGTAGAGTTATTCGGAAAGAAAGGAGCTTCAACTGAGAAATAGAGGTGTGTGAGTAACTTGTGAGGACAGAAGGTTAGGAGTTAGGGGCCAGCGACCAGAGAGAACAAAGAAAGATGGTTCCCTCACCGGTGTTGGCACGATGGTTAAGAAACACCAGAAAAGATGGCTAATAAAGAAACAACATGGAACTGAGAGCTCTCTGAAGATGACAAGATGCCTGTGTTTGGTCTCTATCGCCATTGGGTTGCTCAGAGCTTCCAGGTCCACACACCCCGACTCAGGTAGAACCTCATGGCTGTCGTCAATTAAAGCTGAGACAAGCCAGGCAGGTAGAGAAGGACTTAAGAATTAACAAAGAAATAAAATAAGGAGACTTAAACAAA